ATCTCTAAAATCAGGAGCCAGCCTTTCAACCTTTCCAAATTGCCCAGTCGGTGGTATTTTTTTTTTTTATAGCAACAGAAAACGGACTAAGACCTCCCAGAGGACACTAGAAATACTTGGAAACATTTTTGGCTGTCACAATTCAGGGTCAGGGGGAAGAGATGTTACTGGCAATTGCTGGGTTGAAGGCAGAGTGGCTGCTGAATACATGGCAATATACACACAGGAAACTGTCGCCAAAAGAGATAGATCCCCAGTGTCAACACTGCCAAAGTGAAGAAGGCCTGCTCCATATTGCAATTCCAGCAGGGAAATGAAACACAGCATGTAGTTCACTCCATCAACTCCAACCCCACATCTTCCTTTCTGAAGAAGCTGACCCAAATCTAAAGTTGCAACCCCCATGTTTGCTGTCAAATGCTGCTGAGGATTTGGCTTGCAAATTATTTCACAAGCATCAACTATGATACCTTCTGCTCTCTCTTTTTTAAAGATTTATTTTTTTGGAAAGGCGGATATACACAGAGGAGAGACAGAGAGGAAGATCTTTTATGTGATGATTCACTCCCCAAGTGACCATGATTGCTGGAGCTGCACTGATCCGAAGCCAGGAGCCAGGAGCCTCTTCCGGGTCTCCCACGCGGGTGCAGGATCCCAAGGCTTTGGGCTGTGCTCAACTGCTTTCCCGGGCCACAAGCAGGGAGCTGGATGGGAAGCAGGGCTGCCGGGATTAGAACCGACACTCATATGGGATCCTGGTGCGTTCAAGTTGAGGACTTTAGCTGCTAGGCCACTGTGCCAGGCCCTCTCTTGTTTTTTTTTTTTTTTTTAAAGATTTAGTTTTATTATTTTTTCATTGGAAAGGCGGATATACAGAGAGGAGAGACAGAGAGGAAGATCTTCCGTCCAATGATTCACTCCCCAAGTGAGCGCAACGGGTCGATACTATGCCGGTCCGAAGCCAGGAGCCTCTTCCGGGTCTCCCACGCGGGTGCAGGCTCCCAAAGCTTTGGGCTGTCCTCGACTGCTTTCCCGCTCTCTTGTTTTAAAAAAGCAATATTCTTTTAGAAGCAATGAAAGTCTGACATGCAAAGATCTCTTTCTCCAGCACAGAGCAAAGGTGCTTTCTTCTGCTCAGAGGAGGACTGCTTGCAGTATCCAAGGCAACAAGCTGAATAAGGGTTTAATTTCATGTCCAAGAAAGAGCACTGTGTTTCGAATGCAGACCTTAGGCAGCACAGGTACACTGGGGACCATCATGGAGGACCCTGACTCTGAAGCCAGATGGCAGGTCCATGCTGGGGGCACTTGGTGACAGGTACTTCTTTGCAAAAGGAGAGGACTCTTGGGACATGGGGCACAAAGGCTAGAGTACAGCCTGCAGATTCCTAGCATCACATACTGGATCACTGGTTCAAGTCCTGGCTTCTTTACAATCCAGCTCCCTGCTGCTGTGTCTGGGAAAGAAGGGCAAGATGGTTGGCAATCAGGGTGGAGTTCCAGGCTCCTGGCTTTTGTCTGGCCCAGGCATGGCTGCTGTGGCCACTTACGGAGGGAACCAACAGATAAGATTCCCCCTCCCTCTTTTCTGTCATTCTGCATTTCAAATAAACCAAATGTATCTTTGAGAGAGTGTGCCAACAAGTAGGGGCCAACGCTGTGGTACAGCATGCTAAGCTGCTACCTGTGATGCTGGCACCCGATATGGTCTCTGGATACATCCCTGGCTGTTCCATTTCTGATCAAACTCCATGCCTGGGAAAGCAGCAGAAGATGGACTAAGTGTTTGGGCTTCCTGCTATCCATGTGGGAAACCTGAGTGAAGCTCCTTCCCTCTGTAAATCTGACTTTCCAATAAAAATAAAGAAATCTTTAAAAACATATTGATTTAATTTGAAAGGCAAGCAGAACTAGATCAAAATAAACAGATGTACCATCTGTTGATTCACTTCCCAGATGGCTGCAAGGTCTGGGCAAGCCTGACTCAAGAACTCCATCCTGGTCTCCCACACGCAGGAGCATGGGACAGGGCCCTGAATGCTTGCGCCACTCCCTGCTGCCTTGGAGATCGCGGCCACTGTGACCCATGGTAGCAGTCTTCATGCCCAGCCCCAAACTTAAGCAAAGCGTTGGCAGATGCAACACTGCACATCTGTCTCAGCTGCCAAGGAAACGGGAACTGGTTACCCTATAGCCCAGACTGAAGAGCGAGCCCTTCCCACACAGTCCTGCTCTGCGTCTATCAAAGCACCTCATCGTTTACATTTCACTGAGTTCAACCTCTCACTGAAACCTGGAACTACCTTGTTTATCTTTTTTCTTTGGGTGACATCCCGAGCCCACCTGGTTTGCAGTCTCCCTTGTGGCAACGTGCCAAATGACTCTATCAGATTGCAAGTTTGTCTGTGGTAGATGTGGGCTGACTGGCCTAGAGTACTGACTACAAGAAACAAAGGTTCTCTTTGGCCCCGTGGAACACTGACAACCACCGCTAGCCTCAGAAACCTGCAGACCCAGAAACAGGGTGGTGGGCGAGCAAATGCATCCTTTTCTTCCTGATGGCTGAATGCTTAGGAAGGGGGTCCAAGCTAGAGCCCATGACATCAGGAACCACTCACAGCGCTCCATTAGCTCCACTGCTATCTTGCACGCTGAGCACTTTCTAGGCAGAGTGATGGAGATTTACAACAGAAGACAGAGCCTAGCCCCAGAGAAACCAACAATGCAATGACAGCAACAAGGCGCCATATGGGACCATCACAGGGGCAGCTCCAAAGAAGCAAGTCAGTTCAGAGTGTGGCAAAGGCAGTGTGTTTTGTTACGAAAGCAGGTGCAGCTCAGCAAGAACAACACAGCCTTTGCGCTGTGGTTGTAATTTACTTGAAAACCTCATTTGTCCTTGTACAAACCCCGTCAAGGCATTTTCTCTTCCAAACCCAAGGACTCAGTTGGCCTTCTGCATTTATAAAACTAAGCTATCTGTTCGGAAAGATGTTAAACAGTGCTTTCTTCAGGCTATTTTTTCTATCCCAAGGAAGCTACAAATCTGCATCAATTGTAATAAGAAAGAGGGAAACTCCAGATGTGGTAGGCTGGAGGCACCTCAGGGCACTTCATTATGAATATTTAGACAGTTTTCCTCTTGTTATGAAAATTAAAACAATCTGTTCCCCAGCATGAGTTTCCAATGACTTTCAGTATCATAAATGTTATGTTTCAGGAGGGACTGGAGATTGTGGTGGTTTCCATAAATCTGATCAACTGAGTTGCGTTTTCATTCAGAAAGCCCCAAGTCCCCTGGACACTGTTGAGTCATCCTGATTCCTGTTCCTGGTGTGAACCTGCGTTTCAGCCAGAGGGACACCCACACAGAGGGAGCTGCTTAACTCTCCTACCGCGCTGACCAGGAGGAAGCTCACATCCTGAGCCCAAGGTCATTTCTAAGAGTTGGCCAGCCCTCTGCATCTTCCACCAGAATGCAGATATTCTGAGAGTGGGAAAATGGTCCAAATGGAGGCAGCTCTCCATGGACTGAGATGCCACTAAACAGAGATCGTGGGAGAACAACTATGCCACTCTGCCACTATTAATGAAAGTGAGGTGAGATTAAACTGCAGAAATTCTTGCCCTTGGAATCCATGAAAAACATCTGCTGGAAAACACCCCTCAAGGCTCCCCTGTCCATAATTCTTGCCTTGCCACCCCTTTCCAGGCATACTTACATCGCTACCCATCACAGCCTCTCACACTCCCACAGAACTGTTCCCATCCTTCCCTTGGTCTCCCCAGTTTCCCAGTCCTCTGAATGCAGAATCCTTATACAATGCGCCCTACAGCTTTTAGAATTAAACCAGAGGATCAAGATGCTGAGAGAAAGCTCAGGGCCTTTCTCCAGCACAATCTCCCGACTTGCAGACAGTACAGAGAAGGACCACAACAACCAAAGTATTTGCACAATGTCACAGGGCTAGTAAGTACCAGAACTGGCCCTCCTCACTCCCAGCTAAACACTCCACGCAGCTGTGGTCAAAGTGCACCAGCAAACCACGCCCTCGTCATGATGTCTGCGGGACTGAACAAGGTGTTGGCTGGAGCCAGGATGCACCTGCACGCTTTTGGGAACTGAATATTTAGGACTGTGTTCTCAGGCCCCAGAAGCATCATAAAACCACAGCGCCCAACAAAGTCACCACTAGGTACACATGGCTGTGGGGCGCTGGGAGCACGGCTACTTTTTGCTGGATATGCCACGCCTATGAATACACGCAGGATGATGAAGACTTTCCGGGGAAAAAAGCAAGAAAGCATCTCATTTAATAATTTTACATGGATTACATATTGAGTGATAATACTGCCAATAATGGGTTAAAAAATGACAAAGGAAGCTCAATTGCTTCTTTTTAATGTGGCAACTAAAAACTAAAAACATGTTCCTCAATTGACATTTCCACTGACTACCACAGTTCAAAAACCCTGATAATCCTCTTCACTCACTCGCTGAGTCCTTCCACAAGGCCTTGAATATCCCACGTGCGCACATCACAGAGGTATCTAGAGGCCGAAGCACAGATGTGCCGAGAAGGCCAGGGAGAGGTCAAGGTGGTCTGGTGGTGGCTGAGTGGTCAGCTTCTCTGACATGAAGGTCCATGAAGGCCTAAAGAACCTGCATTCTGTAAGAATCTTTCCACCACCCAAACTACTCAAAGTACTCAGCATATTGGATAAAGCCAAACTCTGCACTACATGGGCAGTGTATATACATATACATGCACATATACATATACATATATGATAGGGAATGATAGGAAAAAAACCCGTCACGAGTTGCACATCTAAATTGGGTGCATCCTAATGGTGAGTATGTAATGAATCACATTCATGCACATTTTTATGTGAAAAAGCTGCCAAGATTATTCAGGGATTTTTTTCAAAAAGCATTTCAGGGATGAGAAAACCCTTATCTGCTTTGCACTGTAAAATGGATAATTTAGGAAACTCACTCTTAGTCCTGCTGTCCATTTCAGTTTTTGTTGAGTCCAGAGTTGCTGTAGTTGGAGGTAACTTCTTCCCGATAGTCTGATGGGCAGAAAAGATAATTTGACTTATTAAGATGATTATCTCCAAAAGGCAAATGAATAAATTAAGGGCATAACAATGTAATATTCAAAACCGGTTCTAAAAGCCACACTGAAGTTCATACATTGCTCCAGGTATTGGAGTATAAGCAAACACCTGTTCCAAAGATAAAAACAACTTTTTCCTTTCTACCAGTTTCAACTGTTTTCTGCTAGTGGTTCCCTCGCCTCTAGTCTTTTAAACAATCCTCCAGGGTTTTTTTTTTTTAAATAAAAGTCCAATGCACAAGATTCAATGCAGGTTTTGACTAGTTCAAAAAAAGATTATGGATTTTTGGAACTAATTTCCTTCACTTGTGGTGAATTCTCTTATCAGCCATCATTTATGGGCCATCCATGAAGAAGACTGGATATTGTCTCCCTCAAGGTGTTTCTGAGAATACAGGTGACTCAGCAGCTCAAACTCGCCCAAATACACCCCAACCTAAGGATTCTGAAGGTGAGGTGTGACCCTCTCTTCCCACTCCCCACACTTATGGGATTGTGACAGATACTGAAGGACAGTGTCTAATAAGAACAAGCCAACAGCCATCTCAACCAGGCAGCCAGCTACACTGACTCCCCAATAACCAAGAGTTTCCCCAGGGACAATTCAAGCTGCTGGGAAACCAAGCATCCCTGCCCACCCAACACAAGAAGCGGACTCAACTGCTTGATGTACAGTCTCCTGGCGAGGCTGAGTTCTAGGCCCAGCAGTTAAGACAGCCATCTCCCACAGCAGAAGGAGCTGCACTGAAGCCCCCGCTTATTGCACAGGCAGCAGCAGACTTCAGTAGTTGGCTCCCTGTTACCCATGTGAGCGACCCAGACTGAGTTCCCTGCTCCCAGTTTTTGCCTGGCCCTGGCCCAGCTTTTATGGGCATTTGCGGAATGCCCTATCTCTGTCTTTGCCTCTCAAATTTCAAAAACAAAACAAAACAAAAGGGGGGCATGGTGTTATTTTGTTCACATAGAACTGATTCACCACAGTTTTTATTTTGAGAAAATTCTTCATGGTTCAAATATTGAAGCTAATATTAAACAGGAATACATCACAGAAAAGGGATCAGATAAATCAAATCTGCAGCCCTTCATGAATCTTTTAAAACATTTGTCACAGAAAGCCTTTACACTTTTACACAGTGACATTTTTATTTAGTGCTGCAGGGTGTTCTATATTAGATAAAAAATGAAAGCCCAATTAATATGCCACCCCTCAACTAGGGCTCCAAGTACTCAAACTAACAGCATCTTCACAATTCCAAAGAAACATCAGGGGAACAAAAACGTGCTGTCATTCTGCCATAAAGTCAAAAGCAGAAAAACTTCTCAGCAGAGGCTTGACAAGTCAGGTATGGACAATGGAAGCTTTCAAAATACCATTAACTCAGGTCCCTGCCCACCCTTCCAGCAGGACCCCTGCCGACTGCTTTGGTTTTTTTCCTTTTTGGGACCAGGATAAAGCATTGCCACAGATAACACGTTAGGAAACCAAGCAGGACCCTGGATAGTACCAACAGCAGGAGGAAATTGAGAAGCACAACAGCAAATACTGCCCCACCCCGACTCTGCTTGAGAGACAAGAGAATGAACCGAGGTCTGGCCCTTTCGTCAGATGCCTTCCTTTACAGGACCCTTTGCAGGCCATGCCTTTTTATAACCTGCCCTTGCTTGGGGAAATGCTGCTCACTGCTCTCCCCCTCTGGTGGCCTGCACCACCAGACACCCAGGCAGATATCAAGAAAGGGCACCTGTTAAACCCACTTCTCTGTGTACAAAGACATAAACATTTCCTCCCCATTTCTGAAAAGCCAGCACGCGGCAGCAGGGAGGATCCTGTGACGAGGGTGGGGGGTGATACTGAGGCTAATCTGAAACTTCTCTTCTGGGCTCACTGGACCTTAATCCTTTCTCCTCCATAGGTAGAGAGCTACGGCATGGCCAGTCCCTCCCTTTGCAGCTTTGCTTTCTTCTCTAGGACTTTAGGCCCAGAAAAGTGTGGATTCTAGACCAGTGCCACCCAGGAAGTTGATAGTAAAACCAATTCCCAGGCCCCACCCTAGACTTTGTCAATCAGAAAGTCTGGGGATGGTGCCCAGCAATCTCCGTGGAGACACACCTTCTGTGGGATTCTGATGCGTGCTCAGGTTTGGAAAGCAGCAACTCAGATGCAGGAGGGATTTCATTAGTGTGAGTCAAGTGCCTTTTCTGGGGTTCATGACTCAGCTGTCTGTTCTATCTAGAAAACCTATGAAGCATTGTGTTCACCCTTCTTCCTCCCTTCTCCGGTCTTTTCCACAAAGCCCTTCTGCTTCCTCTACTCCCACTGGCCTAAGAACTGGACGTTACTACCAAACAAGCCATGTCAGAGAAGAACTTAAGTTCAGTAGAGCAGGCCATGGGACAAAATCATCGAGTTAAAAACAGGGAAGTGTAATCGACAATGAGACCCTTTAGCAAAGGAGATTCAGGTGGGTCGGGGCAGGCCAGATGGAGGGGAAGAGGGAGAGGAGGAAGGAAGGCACATGGGAGGGGGTTAGGTCTGCAGTGGCCCTACCATACCAGAGCAGACAATGGCTGATTTGGCAAAACACCTGGACTCCTGGTCCCCTAGGGACTCCAAGGACAGCAGCCAATCTGGCAAAAACCTTAGCCTGGCACTCAGGTGTGCTGTCATTGCTCCAGAGCCTCCCCACGAAGCCTACTAAAGGAGTACAGTCTAAGGGGCCACTGCCTAGCTCGGCCCCATGCTTCCTCTTCCCTTCTGCACAGTAACTACAAGTCTCCCAGTCTAGGTGTCCGTATCAGCCTTCACTGCTTGTCCCACACTCAGCAGCCACTGAGTCCTCCAACAGCGGCTGTGCACAGGGCTGAGTCGCTGGCACAGAAAGCTTGACCCTGGGCCTAATGCTGTGGCTTTTGCTCAATGCATGGTAATCACCAGGTTGAGGTCAACTTGTGTCTTCGTTATATCCCAGTCTCCACTTCAAATCTAATTGTCCACATAAATAATTCATAAAACCCCATTTCTCTGGATATGTAATAAAAAGTCACGCTCCCTTCACTTTCCAGCTAAAAGTACTAAGGAAACTTTTGGAGGAGAATACTGATCACACTCCTAGTTCTACAATATCCAGTATCCAGCCAGGACAGATGACTACCATATGATTTCAGTAACTTTTCTTCCTCTTTTTACGCAAAAATGAAAAAAAAAAACCTTAAAGCTTACAGTCATCAAACTACAGGCCAGGCGAACCCAGTTCTCTAACTTGAGACCACGATGCCACATAAATTACTAGCGTACAATCACTCTCCTGATTTTATTCTCATTGAGAATCATTGCATCTCATTGAGATGCAAATTCTTCAGGGTATGAAAAAAAAAAGAGGGAGGTGGGAAAAACAGCTCCTAATGTAGGCACAACTTCAACAAGGCACTTGTAGGTCTGTCCTTAAAGTTTCCTCTCCCAGAACATCAAGTACAACACTTGTATCACAATGGTGGTCAGTTTCAGCTGGGAGGGAGAGAAGGGAGAGAACGGCCAGGACCCTGGCAGCAGGCAAAGCCTCTGTGCACAGGCCAGGCCTCTGAGCAGCTATTTTATAAGACAATGATGGGCTGAGAAACCACACATGAATACTGCTCAGAGGCTCATACAAAGCCAAACACAAGAGATGACTTCAGAGCTGGCAAGAGCGAAGATGAAAGCTGGCTTTAAATGGCATGCCTCTTACAATCCTGACAGTCCTCCCTGTCTGTCCACTCACTACAGATTTTCCAAGTGTCCAGTGCGCATGAGGAAGGAAAGCAGAAAGGCAGGAGGAAACTGAGTGCCGATGTGAACACTGACATGGCAATTGCAGGTAATGGTTCCCGAGAGCACTGAGTCTGGGAGCCCCAGGAGCCAGCAGGAGCACCCCACTTCCGCTCACAGGATACAGGAGAGACACAGGGATGAGAGGAGGACATGATCTCTACACATGGTTGAATCTGCAACTTGGCCACTTTCATCTACCTCCATAAATAGCTTTGAAGACTCACTGCAAACATCTTATATTTAAGGGCTGCCGTTGTGGTACAAAGGGCTAAGCTGCTGCTGGCAACACTGGCAGCCTACATCCAAGTGCCATCTCCAGAGACCTGGTTACTCTGCTTCCAGTTTAGCCTCCTACTAAGTGCACCTTGAAAGGCAGTGGATGACCTATGTGCCTGGGACCCTGGCACCCATGTGGGAGACCAGGATGGAATTCCTGGCTCCTGGCTTCAGCTGGAGCCATCCTAACAGTTGCATCCACTTGGGATTAAACTAAGAAATGGAAGAGTTCTCTGTCTCCACTCTGCCTCTCAAATAAATAAATCTTTTTAAAAATATTATGATTTCTCGCTGCACGCTCCCTTCATGAATACCTATGATTGAAGGCATCATGGAAGGCTTCCTGGCTTTCAGCAGGGAGCGGCAGGAGCAGAGCAGAAGCCTGGGAGCCAGCCACCAAAGGAGACAAGGATGTGTCCTTACAAGGGAGTGCTCTGCATGCATCCACTGGAAGGCTTTCCTAGTCATGGGAAAATTTACATGAGCAACTGTCACTTTCTCTGCAATTGGTGGGCCCAGCTCAAACTCTTTGAGACCAATGCAAAATAAGCCTCAATTCAAAAACTGACACGCATGGCACAAAGGAAGCACTAGATTTGTAGCCCCATTCTCGGAGCAGTCCACCTTCACAACACTTCCTATGTCAACAAAGGGAACTCTCCAAAGGGACATGTTCAAGGTCTACTGGAAAAAAAATGTAAGTTTTCATTTCTAATTGACACAAAACAATTGTACATATTTAGGGAGTATAGCATGATGTTTCTATACGTGTATATACTGTACAGCGTTCAAGTTGAGGTAATTAACAAATCCATCACCTGCAACAGATAGTATTTGTTTGTGATAACATTAAACATCCTCTTCTAGCT